TTTGATTTAAAATAAAACTTGGGATCTAAACTGCTTAAATAGCATGTACTTCACATTTCATACTATATAATGGTGGAAAATCTGGAGAATAGAATGCTAGAATGAGAATCAGAAGATCTGTGTTCTCTTTCTGTAAGTTACTTAGTATATCTCTAACAGTTGATTCATAGTTTTCTCCTCTGTCAGACATATCAAAGAGTTAGTGATTACTAATTTTACTAGTTCTCATTTTTTCCTTATTATTATATATATGCTTTTCCTTAATAAACTCATGATCAAGGAAGAGTTATAAGTGAGCTACCTGCTGGGAATACTTTGGTATTTACTTCTAGATCTTTGATTCATTTTCTTGAATTGGGAATTTCTTCTCCACATTGTCTTCTGTTAACTCAATCTAGCTTTCTTGAGAAAGAATTGCTCAATCTTTGATTTCTCTCAGGCATTATCAAACTTGCCATTGTTTTATTGTTATTATTGTAGTAATTGTCTTGGTCTGTGGTACTTGCAGGCGAAATTGTGTTACTAATTTTGTACTTCTAGAGCCTTTCCTGGATCATGAAACTTGATTCTTCTTTTCCATTGTCAACTTTTTTAGAGTCCTACTAGGCTCTACCAAAAGCTTAAACATATATGTATCTACACAGTTAAACATTTTAAAAATGCATATCCTTTGGTTAGGAAATCTACTCAGAATTTATTCCTAAGCGATAATAAGTAAGTTTGCAACAATCTGTATTTAAGGCCAATTCATAGTAACAATGTTTCTAGTGGTAAAAATTCGAAAGCAACTTAAGTGTCCCAAATAGGGGATTAGTTTAATACATTATAGCATATTGATATAATTGAATACCATGCAGCCATTAAGAATGATGGTAATGTATCTTTATGAACCTGAAAAGACGTCCATATCTTTTGTGTAAAAAAGATAACTAAAGATGTGTACGTGTAGATATACAATTCCATTCTTTTTACAAAAGTGTAAATAAATATATATGTACGAATGTCTATATAATTCTGATAGTATATACGCAAAAATGTTAATAGGTGGTAATTTTTATTTCATTTTACATACAATGGTTATGCGTTATATAATAAAAACAGTGTTTCTTTTAAGTAGAGAACATACAGGTAACATTTAAAAATATTTAAATAATAAAGTAAGGGTAAATGGCATTCAAATTTTTTAGTAACACAGAAAATGAATATTGTATACTAATCTTAATCAGGATATAATAATGTACATTCCTACCTATGGTGCAGAAAAGGAAGGATATTCACCAGAATGTTATGGTTATCTCTCAAAGGATTAGAAATTATTTTTATTCCTATTTATATTTTTCTATAGTATTTAGTTTTTTTTTTTACTGAGCATGTATTAGCTTTGTAATTAGTTACATGGTAAAAACATTTTGGGGAGGACTTAACTCCCACTCTAAAAATATTTCAAATGACCCAAGTTTTACTTGTTCTTCCCACGTTGTTTTTCCTACTATACTCTCACAACATAGAATGCTTCTGTGACCTCAGATATGTTGGGAGTATTTCCCTACACAGCAAGCAATCAGTTCTGCAGCAGGTACCAGCTGGGTATCCTCCAATTGAGTTCAATTCTGACACTGTTGTTAACTTAAATAATAAGTGACTGAAAAGGAGAGTCACACTCAGTTGAGGTTTATTAAGCCAAAGTCTGAGGATTTCCCTGGGAAAAGCACAGACCACAAAGCATCTGTGGACTGGGCTTACAATGGCAGGATTGGAGAATTCCCTATTTAAAGGAAAGGGTATGCAGAAAAATAAGGGGAGGCTCTGGAGGAGGTGAGCAGTGAGGCAAATGATTGCATTCTTGTGAAGCTCTACTATTTAGTGCTCAGTAAATTTACATTTCACATAAGATAAGGTGGACTTTCAAGAAAAAGGGAGTAGAGGAAATAGTCTATTTTGGTAGTCTTCTCAGGATGGGTAGAAGGGTGATTGATCTTATCTCTTATGTCTGTGGAGATAAGCTTGTAATTGACATTCAAGAGTTTGTTTAGGCTACAGTGTTAAGCTTATAATTGACATGTGCTTGTTTTATAGTAGACTATATATCTTGAAAGGTTTTAGGGTTAAAGGAAATCAGAAATATTTTACCCCAAAATACATTTCTTTGACATATTTTGCCATGGCTGCTGGCAAACAGAAATAATGCTGCTGCAAAGTTGTCCTTGTGGAGGATGGGGGGAAATTTGTATCTGTAGAGTATCTCCATTAAATGTAGCCAGGTCCTGCTTATTCAATCTAGGCAAAATTAACTCAGAAGGTCAGAACAGAAACATTTACCATCTATTCTCCCCGAGGGCTGTTATCCTGAGGCTTATCTGCATAACAAGACCACCTTTGGTATCCAGGCTTCTTTTCTGTCTCCCATAACCTGTCCACCAAAAACCTGCTTAGTCATTAGCCAAGCCTTTCCATTTCTTTAAAAAACCTGTTACTGAAAGTTCAGTGCTTGTCTCTGAGGCTGCATCAGAAGAACAAGGACAAGTGGCTTGAGGAGAAGGAAAGAGAAATTTATTAATTTGCTGTCAAATGAGGAGGATGGCAGACTCTCTTCCATCATCCTAACTATAAGCAGAAATATAGCTTTTGTAGGTGGGTTTTTCAGGTTCAGGGTATTGCTGTTTAACTATAGTTGATGGTTCTGATTGACCCATCTCTAGTAAAGACAATCTCATGACCTCTGCCTAGACAGTTCCCTTGAACCATCTCCTGTGAAACAAAAAAACAAAGAATACTCCCCTGCCTTTCTGACCACTGGCCTTGGGCAGGAATGCAGATTTTAATTCCCAGAAAGAGTGGGGTTGGTTTTAAAGAGACAGCTCCTAAAACATTTTACCCTTTTTTCAGGCCATTCCTTCTGTTACAAACCTTCTGTACCTTGTTGAGGAGTTGAGTTTGGGAGAGGATGGCAGTGCTTGCATGACTCAGTTCCCAAGCTCAGTTCTTCCTTTGGCATAATGAATTTTGGGGTGTGAACTAAAATAAAATCCTAAGCACCCCTGCTGACTGAGTTGATTCCTTTTTGGTCAAGGGGACCCCAGAGAACCCTTAAAACTGAGTTCCCAACCAAGATGAAATGGGAGGTCAGACATGCCTCATTATTACTTTCCCATTGCAAACAGCCATCAGGTTTTCTTCCCTAAGGGCTAAACAGAAACCAGTCTCATGACACTTCTCCCTTTTTGTGGTTTCCGTATGACAACTGACCAGGCATTCCTTCCTGATAAGTGAATGTCGTCGACCACAGAGTGGTTCTGACCAGTGTACAGATGCTGTTCAAAGAGGGTTTTTGTGTCGTCTGCTTCACTTTTTGACATCATAGGGCCAAAAACTCCACCCTCAGATTGTGTTAAAGCTGCTGTTTTCTGGACATGGATCCTATGAAGGGGCACGAGGCTCAATTGCATGTGCACATGTTTCACCTTTCATAAATATTCATGACTCCTATAGCTTGTTAAATAGATATATTTGGCTACCCAGCTTAGCATAAATTCCTGTTTCCTATACTGTTACCTCAAAGTACATGCTCTTGACTTCAGCCCAAGGCAGTTGCTTCCCAGCATGTTAGAATGGCTACCCTGTAGGCTACACCCCTTTATGAGAAATATAGCTCTCCTTTCCAGATTTATGAACCTCATCATTCTTCAGTTGACAGGGGGTTCTGAGATTTTCTTTCTCCAAACTGTGAACCTGGAGCTGGCATCAAATCCCACAGGTTGAGATCCAACAAGGCTGCCCTCACTTCAGATGCCAGTCCCAAGTCTGGGCTTTCAGAACTGTTGACCAACAGGCTATAAATTGGGGTTCCCATGATCCCCTTCTTTAGTCCGATTAATTTGCTAGAGTGGCTCACAGAAGTCAGAGAGACAATTACATTTACTTACTTACTATAAAGGATATTACAAAGGGTACAGATGAACAGCCAGATGGAAGAGATGCATAAGGTGAGGTATGGAAGAAGCAGTATGTTGCTTCCATGCATGCCCTCTGTGGGCACACCACTCTTCTGAACCTCCACATGTTCAGCTACCTGTAAGTCCCCAGAACTTGGTCCTTTTGGGTTTTTATGGAATGTTAATTATTAATGTGTAAGCATGATTGATTAAATCCTTGGCCATTGGTTTATTAACTCTACCTTCAGTCCCTCTTTCCTCCCCAGAGGTGGGAGGGAGGTGTGGGACTAAAAGTTCCAATTCTTTACTCAAGTGATTGGTTCCCTTGCCAACCAACCACCATTATGAGAGTTATTCTCGGGGTCCCTAGCCACCTGTCATCTCATTAGTATACAAAAGACACTCCTGAGAATCCAAGGATTTTAGGAGCTATATGTCAGGAAATGGGGACAAAGACCAAATATATATTTTACAATATCATAACAACATACCAAAACTTATGGGATACAGCAAAAGCAGTACTAAGAGGTAATTTTATAGCAGTAAATGCCTATATTAAAAAACAGGGAAAATCTCAAATCAATAACCTGTCATTACACTACAAAGAACTAGAAAAAGAACAAACAAAACCCATTTGATGGAAGGAAGTAATGAAGATTAGTGCAGAAACAAATTAAATAGA